AAACATGGGTTTTTTCCCTAACATTCCAGGATTAGGGAAGCCCTAAATCAAACACAAAATCTAGAAACTACTAAAAAGAAAAGATTAATTCATTTGACGCTATCCAAACCCAAAGTTTCTGCCTAACAAAAACACCATGAACACAATCAAAAGTCAAACAACAAACCAGGGAAAAGCATTTATTTACAAGACATCCAAAAGGCTTAACTGACTTTGAGCATAAAGTATGTCTATAAATCAGTAAGAAAATAACACTCCCCCAACATGCATACACATGAAGCCAAAACATGGAGAGACAGTTCAAAGACAAGGAAACACAATGGCTCAACCAACTTCAGGGAGATGTTTAACCCCCTCAAAGCAAGACAAATGTAAATCCATACCCATGACCAAACACAACTTCTCGCATATCCAGCCAGGAGACATTTAGCAATGTGGTTAACTCCCCGGCCCAGGAAGGATTGCAGGGAGGAAGAGCACCTCACACATCCCTGATGGAAGTGTAACTTGGTAGTAAGATCTCTGTAGAGAGCACTTTGACAACATCTAGCAAAATAAAAATGCAGCCCACTTTGACTCTCCACTGCTAAGAATTTCATTTGTGCCAGGATTTCATTCTATATTGTATATTAGCCAAAACTGGAGACAACCTAAATGCCCCCCTTTTAGGTGACTAATTAGATAAATTATGACCCAATCATACAATGGAATACTGTGCAGACACAGAAAAGAATTAGGGGCTCTCTATGCATCCATCCCCAATATAGGCAAAAAAAAGGACATAGAACAGTGTATATAATGTCACTGTTTGTGAGAGAAAAATATATAAGTGAAAATATACTTTGAATATTTCTGGAAGGATACATAAGCAACTGGTAACCATGGTTGCTTCTGAAGAGTGAAACTGGAGGCAGAGATGGCAAGAAATGTTACCCTACCATCTGCTTTCCATACCACATGCATGCATTTTTTATTAGTCAATTTCTAAAAATAGGTATGCATAAAGATGTTCCCTGTTGTGTTGTATATACTGCACGAAATAATTAAAACACCATTAGCATGACCTAACAGTGGGTTCTTTTTTAAATATTACTATTGCAATTAAATTGTAATTATTTTTAATCCTAATTAAATTGTACTGAGTCACTTTATTGTCTTGAGTACCAGAAAAAGAATACAAATTGCTTCTCGGGATATTTAAACAACTCTCAGGTGTCCTTACAGAGTAGAAGCTAGCAATCTTTGAGAATTCATGGAGAACAGAAGAAACAGCAGATGACTGGAGATAGACAAGCATCCCAAACTTCACTTACAGAAAAAGAATGGAGCTTAGAAAGTTTAGCTGACATTGACTTTTTGCAAAATTCTAGTAATTATTCAAAGTGGTGAGCATTAGAAACCAGTAAGAGTTCACTCAGAACGATGCGGAATAAACTATGCAAGTTATTAAGAAAAATATTTTAGACTCAGCAGGGTTGATTTTTTTACCTGGCTGAGTAAAATCTCAGAAGTACCTGGCCGCTGGGCTGCACAGGGACTGCTGGTGTGGGTCAGGGAGGCCAAGCAACCCCTCCTCCCGCCTCAGTTCCCCCAGAAATGTCCTCTAAGTGACTCTGCAGGAATTTATTAGGCTCTTCTTTTCAGGAAGGCACTGACAATATCTTCCAACATGACTGGGAGATACAATACAGAGCTATAAGTGACATCAGGAAGTTGAACACTGGGCCCTGGCCCACTCAAGTGTGCTCGAATCCACTGATTTAAACTCCAAGGAAATGCTCAGTGTTAAGACTGGCCTCAGATTACTCAACATCCTTAATGAAAGGAAATATATGTCAAAGGTTTTGAAACTCATAGGGCTACACAAAATAAACTTGGTATTATTATTGTTGCTTTTGTTGTTGTTATTTTGAAGGCATGACAAATTCTGGAACAGATAACAAATACCAAGGACCAAGGCAAAAACAGAAACAAAAAAAGATCCTAATAGGAGAGATCTAATAACCCAAAAACTATTCAGATGAAACCTATCTTGTGCAACATGTCACACAAGCGTAGGCTGAGAAAGCCCTGGCATAGTATAATGCCATAAAGGTTTGGTGACCGTGGTCTCGAAAGAGAAGCATGTGCTAAAAGCCTAATGCATCAACTGTAGGCTTCGTGCATGGAAGCAGTGTCCATTCTTCCTTCCTCCTGGTTAGAAGACACAGGGCCTGCAGGCTGCGTGCTGGGTGCCATGCTGAAGAGACAGGTCCAGTGGAGCAGTCAGTACAACAAAGTCTGTCATGTATGGCAACAACTGAAGCATCTGGAGACGTCTTAGCCAGGAAATAAACTACGGACCTGGGCATCCTCCACCACCTGACTATGTATTACATGAAGGAAGAAGAATCCTTCAGAGGGACAAGTTGCACACATGGGCATGAGATGAACCCACTTCTAATCACCAAAAAACAGGCCTCTCTGCAAGGAAGAGTAACTATGAAGCGGGCTGCCTGGGCAGGGGCTCCCTTCCCATCCTGGAAGAGAGACCCACATACTGGATCTGATTCAGGAGGGGAGAGAGGCCTGAAGGCCTGAAGATCTCTTTTAACTATAATAACCTGGGATTCTAACTGGCTTGACAGTTTCATGTCTAATGATAAAGACATTCCGTAAGGCTTATTTGCAGGTATGATGGGAGTCAGAAAAGAGGACACAAAAGGCAACTTCTCAGACCCTGATCTTTCCTCCACTGACAGAAGACAAATCTTCCACTTTTTCTTCTACTTACAAAGCACACAAGCACCTGACCCCTAGAACTCAGCCCCATCACAGGATACCTTCCACGTTTGTACATCTGATAGTGCACAGCCAACGGAGGAGAAAGTCTGCTTGGGTGCAGGTGCCAAAATGTGCTCTAAACGCTCTTTAAAGCATTTGTTATGGAACAGAACACTGTGGAAGGACAGTCCTTTATTTAGATCTTGTTTGTGTGTGAGAATCGATATGAGCCTGCTAGTCTTTATCTTACAAGAAAATGTGTGTCTAACTATTGTCCCAGAGTCTTCTCCTCCCAGCCTTGCTTGTCAGCTCTATGTCACTGTGACTTATCCAGCACTCCCAAACACACTGCACACATTAGTGCCATTTTTTACCCTTTTGAATGCTAATTTAGAAAGAATTTCCAGCTCTCCAACATGCCTGCATAGCCTGTATTCAAGAACTATTTTAGTTCTCTCCTCCCACCATCCATGGGCAAAGTGTGAATAGCTGTTCCTGGATCCCCACCACTAAGTTAATGACAGTCTATCCCACCTCCTAACTTTTGAGTCTGCCCTCCATCTGACCCAGGAGAGAGCACCCTCCTCTCGCATTTGCTTTGATCTATTTTATTCTTCCTCTCTTTAGAAGGGGGCTTAGAGTATATGAAAATGCTGCCAAATCCTTACTTGCACAGAAATACAGACTATTAAAATAGTCATTGTTAATTTCCCCATGCTGGTCAAAACAAAATCCAAATATTGCCCTCCATCAATGGGAAACAGAATCACAGAAACACCTTTGGGAAGGCCAACCTCACTGGGGGGACCGGGGTGTCAGGGTGAACTAAGTTGAAAGGATCTTCCTTATTTAACAGCTAATCCAGACAGTTCCCACAGGACAGATCATTTCTTGCCAAGATTAAAACAAGGGTTATGATGATGTAAGAGTTTCATCTTACACATCTGTGAGCTACAAAGTTTACGAACACACATTTGGGAGGAAAATACATGCACATTGGTTATCATAAACTGTTAAATTTCAGTCTCACATTTAAACAAATCATTTAAAACTCTGCCCAGAACTGCCCAGAAGAGGAAAAGGTCTACATTTACTTGGAAATGCAAATTAGTTATTTAAAACACAAAAAGGGCAAAAACCACAAACTGCTTGACAAACTGGCATAAGATATCTCTTATATGTTAAGAAATCCAGAAAATTATAGATGTCCTGGGCACTGATTTTTTAAGATTGCTCATTCTCCATTTTTATGCTGGCCACACATCTCTCACCAAACACTGTTCCATTCCAATGAAATACCTCTGCTAGAGGAGCTCCAATGGACTGGACGCAAGTTGCAAGTTCAGCTAAAGCTGATCAGGGTCCCAATGCCTCAGATAAAGGCAGCTGCTATGTAGGAGCATGGGGGTCCCTGGGTACCAAAACATTCTTAGTGTCCTTCCTATACTCCATGATGTTTACTATAGTCCTGAGAAATCACTAGAGGGAACAGTGGGTTGGCTAAGTCTAAGGCCAAGTATGCCCATCTTAGGAGGAGACCGAACCTGGGAATGGGGGAAGGGAATTTTCAAAAGCTCTTTGCTTCTCTGGCTACAACTTCAGTGCCTTAGTGGGCTTTAGCCTGTTTCCAAAGCAGGCAGGAGATGGCTAAGGTATCTGGGAACAGGCGCTACGCTCATGGATAGATAGCTCTTCATGGCAGACATAGCGATAGCTGGCCAGGCGGAAGAGTGGAGCCCCGGGCCTGGAACCGCCAGCAGACCTTGAATGAGGCAGGGCCTCCAAGGCAGGCTTGGTGACAGGTCAGAGGCCTTACCCTCCACCGGCCACTCCTGCCCTCATGAGGGTGACAGCCAGCAGGATGGGAGAAGGAAGCTCTAGTCTTTTGGGGGGAGGGGGAGACTCTTTCCCTACATGCACTGGGGCAGAACTTGGGGTGCAAATTAGGAGAGGCTATGGTGCCCCTTTAGAGTTAGGAGGCCGTGTCACTGCGGAGGGCGGCAAAAAGCACTCGCTTCAAGTCAATGCATTTGTTTGGGGGACAGGAGGCTATTACGTCAATGCGGGATGCCTGTACACACAGGTCAGCATCACTTTAGGGACTCCATCCTTCGTCCCTGGTTGCCCTTGCTTAGACCTCGGTATATAAGGAGAGGGACGGAGGTAAGGGTGGAGGTGACCTAGGAGTGAAAGGGACTTAGGAGAAGGACACGGGGCTGGGCGGTCGCGGCCCTTACCTTGGTGACCACGTTTTGGACGAGGCCTGTGTGGATGCCATAGTTCCACGCGTGGCAGTCGCAGTTAGAGGCGTTGTCCCCCTTGTCCGGAGGGGACCACAGGGGTGGCGTGTCGCCCCTGTCCGCTCCGCTGCTGTTGCTGAGGTTGCCCGCGGGCCCCCAGGCGGCAGTGGAGAAGGAGGTGGTCGGGGGGCTGTTCCAGTTGGCCCCGTCGTAGGCACCGGCCAGTGAGGTGACTCCC